AATTAAAATTTTCAGATCCGACAATGCAAAAGAATATTTTGGGAAAAACCTGACCTTCTATCTCACTGATTTAGGGGTTATTCATCAAAGCTCCTGTGTTAGGACCCCATAACAGAATGGAGTTGCTGAAAGAAAAAATAGACATATTGTTGAAGTTGCAAGAAGTATTTTATTTGCCTCACATGTCCCTACAAAATTTTGGGGTGATGTTCTCACTGCTACCTACCTTGTAAACTGTATGCCATCCAGGGTTTTAGGGCTTGTCTCCCTTCAGTCTTCTTCATCCGGACAAGGATCTTTTTCCTATTCCTCTTCATGTCTTTGGCTGCACTTGTTATGTACATATCCCAAGTGTCCAGAGACATAAGTTTGAACCAAAAGCCCACAAGTGTATCTTCCTTGGTTATTCCCCCACACAGAAGGGTTATTGTTGTTTTGATCCGAAGACTGGCACTCGGTATGTCTCAATGGATGTCACCTTTGATGAGCTTTCTTCCTTTTATGGTTCTTCTCTAGAGAGACATTGTCCAAAGGGGGAGGATTTGTCACAGGTGTTTGCTCTTCCTCTTCCTGTTCCAGTTGTGTCTTTTGTTGAGTCTCTTCCTCCTTCAAATGAGTCAAGGGAGGATCAGTCACTTCACTCTCATTCCAGTGTTTCTATTCCTCCTCCTTTACCTCMTCGCCCTCTTTTTAATCCCAGGTTGTACCAACGGCAAAGAATCAGAAATGAGCAGATTGTTTTCCCTACAACACATGAGCCCCATGCACTTCCAGTTACAGATGAGACAACAGATACTGTTACAGCCCCTTTTGGAGTATTCCTTCCTAGACCTTGATATCCCCATTGCTATTAGGAAAGGAAAAATGAAGTGTACTGCACATTGCATTTCCAAACACCTTGATATCCCCATTGCCTACCTTTCTTCTGTTGCTTCTAACTCAATTCCCAGGTCTGTGTCAGAAGCTCTTAATATTCCAGAATGGAGGGATGCTATGAGAACAGAAATTGATGCCCTATACAAGAATGACACTTGGGAAGTGGTTGATTTGCCTGAAGGGAATGATCTAGTAGGCTGTAAGTGGGTTTTTACTATCAAATATCATGTTGATGGCACCATTGAAAGGTACAAGGCTAGCCTGGTTGCAAAAGGCTATACACAGACATATGGGATTGATTATCTGGAGACCTTTGCCCCTGTTGCCAAGATGACTTCTGCGAGAGTTCTTCTATCTTTGGCTACACACTCAAACTGGCCACTTTATCAACTGGATGTAAAGAATGCATTTCTGAATGGAGAGTTACATGAGGAGGTCTATATGTCTCTTCCTCTAGGGATGTATGAAACAGATATGAAAGGAAATGTCTGCAAGCTAAAGAAATCTCTTTATGGACTCAAACAGTCCCCTAGAGCATGGTTTGAAAGGTTTAGGGCTACCCTTGATAGCTTTGGCTAAGTACAGACACAGTCTGATCATACCCTCTTTGTAAAGAGGAGAGGATCCTTGGCCGTTTACCTAATTGTGTATGTTGATGATATTGTTGTGACTGGTAATG